CCGGGAGGTGGAGCTTGCAGTGAGCTGAGATCCGGCCACTGCACTCCAGCCTGGGCAACAGAGTGAGACTCCGTCTCAAAAAAAAAAAAATAAAAATAAATAAAATGGCATAATAGAAATACTGAAACAATTCTTCTAAAAAGAGAAAGACCATATCTTCCCAGAAAGATCAAGAAAGACCTCCTAAAGAAAAAGCCATCTAAATGGAATTGAAAGATTGGCTGTGATATTGACATGATCAGAATAGTGCTTTTGGAGCATCATTCTGTTAGAAAAGGGCAAATTGGAGTGGAGATAGACTATAATTAGACACCTGTTATATGCCAGGCACTTGTAGACCTCTGCCATCGTGGAGCTTACATTAGTAGAAGGATATGGAGATGTCAGTGGTGATAGATGCTGTCAAGAAAAATGAGGCAGGGCAAGGAAACAGAGGGTGAAAGAGAGAGTTATCAGGGAAGGCTTCTCTACTAAGATATTATTTCGAATTAGTAAGGAGTGATTGGATTGCAGTATAATTTAAAGGTAGAGCCAATAGGCTTTGCCAAAAGAACTGCATGCAGCTCGTAATGGAAAAACAGTGAAGGTTCTGGCTCATCTTTTGAGTAGGTCAATCGGGGCAGCACCCTTGGAGTGTTAAGGATTTCTCAAAGGGCCTATGAAACATCAACAATAAGATATCCTTTATTATTGCCTTGGGCAAGTCTAGTTGAATTGCCTTGGGCTCTATACCCTTGTAGAGACCTCCCTGCTAATGAATTCAGGGTTTTTGGCCTAAAGAACAAGAAAAATGAACTTATAATTTACCGAGATAGAGAAGACTGTGAAGGTGCAGGTTTAGTGGTGGTAATAGAGTGGACAGAGGAATCAAGAGTTCAGTTTGGGACATACTGAGTTGAAATGTCTATTAAAAATCCAAATGGAGATATCAGGTAGGCAATGAGTATGAGTCTGCATCTCAACAGGAATGTTCAGAGTAGAGATATAATTTGGGAATTGTCAGCCTACAGGTGGATTTTAAAGCGGTAGAACAAGATGGCATCACATGTAGAATAAGTATGAGAAAAGAAGGAAGCCTGAGGACTGAGCACTGGGAGGTATAACATAAGTGGAAAAGACGAGAAAGGACCAACAAAGGAAACCAAGAAGTATGGTGTTTCAAGAAGGCAGTAATTATCAAATGTGTTAAATGATGTCAATAAGTCAAGTAAAATGAAGACGGAACTTGTTCATTGAATGTGGCAATGTGGAGCTCACAGATACCGTGATAAAAATCTTAAAAGCACAGTGATAAATGACTGGTTCTAGTGGGTTCAAGAAGAAAGAGGAGAGGAAGTGGAGAGCAAGGATCTTGGCTTTAAAGGGGAGCAAAGAAATGGGTCAGTACTGAAGGAGGTTATGGTGTCAAGCAAGGGTGGTGGTGGTAGTGGTTGTTGATTTATGATGGGCTGTTAAGAATAATACGTTTGACCAAGTAAATAGGGAAATTCTATTACGGGGCCATTCAAAGAAGTAATATCTATGAGAAGGGAGTACAAAAGTAGAGGACTGGCCTTAGATAGGAGCAAGAACACTTTATTTATTGCAAGAAAACAGTATGCTGGCATACAGGTGCAGGTACAAAATCTGGTAGATGGGTAATTTACCATCTTCTCTGATTTTTTTCTTCTATCTCAGTTAAATTAGAAGGTAAATTATCAACTCAAAGAAAGGGAAAAGAGTGGGAGGTTTGAAGACAGAGGATAAAGAGTGAAACAGTCATCTACATAACTTGGTGCATCTTAAGAGCCTAGGATCAAGGTCCCACTTGACATAAAATGGTCTTGAATTTAAAGTGAGTCAACAGCATAGTTGTATGTCTTTCTTTAAGCATATTCAGCTACTTGAGTATAAGCAAAGCAGCTGGTTAGGATTCTTCCAGGGAATTAGGACAGGGAGTGAGCTGTAAGGGAAATGAGGGTGAAAGCAAAGGAATCTAAGTGAAGTAAGGAGGGAAGAATATATGAAGGGTTGAGGGAATGTGTAAAGATACAAGAGTTGATGGACTGGAAGTCTTGCGGGGTTAAACAGCACATAATGTCAAAATACTAGATGGGATAAGCTAGAAAAATAAACAGTAGTTTGAATCTGAGATTATGGATGAGGTACAGTTATACTCTATGGGTTGCTGGGGAGAATAAATGAAAGAAGACCTCGAAACAACTGAGAGTTCAGGGTTTTAGATATACCATTTGTGTGGATATTGAAATTCCCAAGGAAATACGAGAGAGTAGTGATAGAGGAACAGTAAGTCAGATGCTATAATCTAGGAATGAGCCTTCCAAGACCTGGATGACAGCTGATAACAACAAGGAAAGATAAAGCCTATGTAGTATATGGCCTGAATTTCAAAGGAACCAGAGAGGGTTTTAGAGAGAAGAAAAGAAAATATGGTGGCAGTGGAATGGAGAACAGAAAAAAAAAAAAAATGTTTCATCTCCAGACTTAGTGGCTTGAGAATGAGGAAGCTGTATCTTTGGACTTCAGTTAAAGCCAAAAGGTAAAAGGGAAGTTCACTGAAAAGGTTGACAATAGAAAGGACTTTGCTGAAGATGGCCCATGAATTTCAGAAGTCAAAGTGGAAGGATAGAAAAGGGTTGGGGAGTGGGTAATACAGCATCACACTAAGGGGCTTACCAAGCTGAATAAGGATGGGTTCTCATGATGAAGAATGACCTGGCTTCTTCTGAAGACTGAAGTTAATAGGGAGGTAGAATTTAATGGGAATTATGCCCACAATATTTTAGGCAGCTTATGGAAATGGCACTGTGATTTGGGGGGAGAGAAATGGGGACTCACCAGGAAGGTAAGTTACCTAACAGGAATTTACTGCTAGGTGAGAGCATGAAGAACTCATTGGATTACCTCTTCAGGCATGCAAATTGTCTCCTTAGGCAATTGGAGGCCTGTTGGAGCTGCAGCAGCTCTATAAATGCACTTTACCAGAATAGTTTCCCAAAGAAGAAATGTAGATGGTAGTAGTGGGAATAGAAAGAGTAAGTTGATTAAAGTGATGTTTTAGCATCATAGGAATACAAAATGTAGTGGACCCTTGAACAACACGGGTTTGAACTGTGCAGGTTCACTTACCCGTGGGTATTTTCAGCCAAACTCGGATCAAATATACAGTATATGCGGGACTTGAAATCCCCATGTAAGGAGGGCCAAGTTTTCATGTAAGTGGGTTCTGAAGCACTGACTTTGGTACTTGAATATGCACAGATTTTGATATGAAGTGGGGAAGGGGGTGACTTGGAACCAATCCCCTGCATATACTGTGGGATGACTCTAGTTTTATTCTGGAGTGATATATGGAAGACATAATTCTTCCCATAAAAAGTCATAATCTTGGTAGTCTATCATAGTCTAGCATTAAGAGCATGAACTTTGGAACCAAAATACTTGAATTCAAATCACATGTCTTACATTTAATCGCTCTCTTTGGATAAATTCTTATATCTATTTGTGTACCTCACTGTACTTTTTTTCGTAAAATGAAAATTGTAATAATATCTACCTTATAGGGTTAAATGAGTTACTATTTGTAAAGTTCTTTGAATACCATCTGGCACAGAATAAACACTGTATAATTTTTTTTTTAATCTAAAGCACTTGGAACAACAGTGACTAGCACAAAGTAAGTATAAGTTTTTACCATTGTAATTAATTGAGAGAACTGACAGTATATACTGAAAGTATAAATGTAGAGGGCATGCATTTTTCAAGGTAGATATATTTAAGGATGAAGTCTGTGACGGTGAAACCCAAATGAAAGCGCTAGAGAGAAAATCAGGTTTGGATTCATTAGCACTAATCTGGGACATTTCTGTGTGTTGAGCAAAAAGTATGTAACGTGAACGGAGTAAATGGCTCAGCTTCAGGGAAGACTTCATGAAGGAGTAGGTTTGAAGAGAGAGTTGAAGGAAGTGACATGAAGGAACAGGAAAGAATTATAAATTGCAAGGAATGGTTATGATAATCTGCTAGGTAAGCCCTCATGATTTCTTTAGCTTGGATGTATATTTCTAGATAGATTTGATCTCTACACAGGAAACGATTTAACTTTGCTTGTCTTTTTTGTTGCATATATATCAGGTTTCAATCCTTTAAATTTTTTTAGACACATGTAACTAGTACATGGATCTTTGTAGTTAATTGATCTTTAGAAAGGTATTTAGTGATTTAAGGAGAAAAATACTTATTCCTCCTATCGTTACTCCTAAATGAAGAGTAGATCAAAATTTGCTTAGGGCTTACTGTGTCCAGAATAGCACTGGACAGGAGTGCTATATTCCCTGGATTCCACACCCATAGCAGAAGTTGTTAATCATTGTTGATATCGTTTCTCACAGATTCTGGTTATAGTCTCAGAATCTATTTCCTCATAGTACTGGAGTTACATACTATTAATACTAACCCAAAATAATTATGCAGTGTATATCAGGTACTGTTCTAAGCATGCTATATATATTACTTTAGTTATTAGAACAGCTTTATGAAGTTTTAAAGATGAGGTACTGAGGATCAAAGAAGTTAAGAAACTTACTCAAGGTCACAACAGTGGAAAAGCAGAAGCAGCAAAATTCAACTACAGTTCTTCTTTCATTCCAAAATCACTTAACCATTGTATTCTAATTCTTGGCACTAATGGTGAAATGTCATTGACATCCCTGTGACATGTTTGACAATTAATTTACCTTTCAGGGTCACCAGTATACAACAGGAAAAAACAAAAGTGAAAGATTATCAATATAGATTATTGAGTAGGAGTAAAGAAGGTAAATCAAAAAGGGGAAAAGAGGAGATTACAGACACAGAAAATGTCAGACAACAAAGAAAGGAAGAGTCAAGGATTTCCTAAAAAAGGTGATGAAACAGTCTTAAGAAATGAATAATTAAAAGATCAGCAACAACAAAAAAAGTAGTCTGGTAGGATAATTGTGTTAAAATTGATAGCAAATTAGAATAGATGGAAGCAGTTACATTTAGCCGGGACAAACATATACAGTGTTTAAAAAAGGCATACTAACCTGAAAATACAGAATTATAATGAGAATGCATCAACTGTAATTGCTATAGAGCTGTTATGGTAGCACTATAATTATAGTATATGTGCAAGTGGTCTGGATAAAAAAATTAGGACAATCAAAATATTTATACTGTTCCATAAAGGAACAGGTATAACATTGCAGTAGGCAACTTTGAATTGCCTATTATTGTTGCCTTTACTTTTGGTTTTGTTTATATCAGCAAGGGAAAATTCCTAATTCTAAATTTAGTTTAGAGGCAAAAGCATCAAATATTTAATGATTTTGAGTAAATAAACACAACTTTCTTAAAAAAAAGCTGTATTTTAATTTTTATTATATACTTTATTCTTTTGTCTAATTGTAGATAACCAAGACACAAGTTCGTTAGCTGATGCTGTAGAGAAAGTTGCAAAGCAACAACAATCACAAGCATCAGAGATAGAAAAAAACAAAAAAGTTCTGTTCAATTTGAAGGTAACTT